TGGACATAGTGCATGAACCTACCTGTGGTAAGGACAGTATCGTACAGCGACAGTAATGGTTCAGTAAAGCATATGGTGGCGTGCCCAAGAACGTAACCAGTACCTTAACCGGGCACCCAGCATTGCTTGTAAGGTAGTAGGTTTTTTTTGGCCTGAGAAAGCCGTTAAAGGCTAGATAGGTAGCAGTTTTGATAACTGCATTGGTGTGTGGCTCGGAAGGTGCATGGTCAAGTGGTTCTGACATGGTTTGAACATTGTATGTCTATGGCCAGTATTTAGTTTTAGCGGGAACGTGCGCTTGGCTATGTCTCTAAGTAAGGTATGGATGGGGTAGGAGGATAGGAACCCTTGTTGTTTGGGAAGGAGAAATACGTATAGTGTTGAATGCCCGTGAGATAAGTTTAACCGTGTTGTGCGAGAATTTTAACTTAAGGTGGCAAAAGGAGGCGAAGGCCATAAGTGGTGAAACCTCAAACCAGTTATCTAAGTGATGGTCCAACATGAAACGTATTGTATAAGTGGAAAACCCTGTAGCAAGCGTGTTGAGTGCTGGTGGACAAGGCCAGTTTTGTCAGAGCCCGGCTATGTTGACGAGGTTCATGTAATCCGTGACCTTGACCATAAATAACCCCCCTGCCATGGCGGCTGTCACGGCAGCTGCCACAATAGTTTACCATTACGTGTGGTTAAGAAAGTCCACCATATGTGTAGGTCTGCCATGGCTTGGTTGTCTAGGGACAGCCCCTGATCATCATGCGGGAGTGTGGAAAAAGAAAAGTGGTCTTAGATGAAAGCGCGGCCTGTGGTATGATGCGCATGGCAAAATTTAAGGAACCTGGTAGGGATTGTAGTTCCATGTGGTTGCAAGTACCAAGCAGGAGGTGGTAATTGGTGTTGTTGCGACTGTTCCTATTTCTCACGTGGTAACTTGTTGGCATGGATGCCGAGTCAAGTTGTATGCCCAGGAATGTAACGATAGTGTCTGGGTCTTCTGTGACCTTAGTGAATACTGGGACACCCAAGTGTTCAGACATACTAATGGCTTCCTTGAAGCTTCTAGAGGGAAAGGCGTTCCCTTTGACCAACAAGAAATCATCTCGGGAGTGTATGACTGTGGGGCATCTGGATATGCTTAACCACAACCAGCAAAGAGTTCAATGAATATATTGAAGATTGTGGGCTGCTCTTGACCCGAAAGTTAAGCGGGAGGAGAAATGTATAACTGCTGCACATAAATGCCCTGTAAGTGCCAGTGTAGGGTAGATGGTGGCAGTCTGAAATGCATTTTACTTAACCAGGCTTCCCCCCTTGCTTGAGTGATAGCTATAATGGTATGAACAATGGTGGCATACTGTAATGAAAACTCCTCGGAGGGTATGAGGGAGTTGAGACTTGGGGTAGCCAAGGCGTGAGGTGCAGATGAATCTTCCCTGTAAGGGAAGATTCCCTGTGAAAATCTCAATGGGATTGCACCACACTGTAAATGGTGTAGATCGGAGAGGCCCAGGTAGAAATCTTCCTGCCATTTCTTGGGCCATGAGTGTAATTGTGCTGTGATGACTGCAAGTTAGGGCATTCTAGATTCCCCCCAAAGTATATGGCAATACCTGTATGGAAGGCCTTTAAAATTCGGATATTAGGAAATCAACTAAATGTCTGGAAGGGTGATGAGTTAGAAAGTACTGGAAATGCATAAATGTTTACAGACATGAAGTAAGGTTCAGGGTACATTTATTGTGACACATGGTTTTTGCATGTGCTGTGACATATTGAGAACATATCTGCAACAGTCTGCATGCACTGAAACTACATGTGCCAACATGGAAATTGTTGCCAATCTGGGATTTGCCAAAGAGAATGAGACGACCCAATTTGTCTCTGGTAGTTCTCTACGTACTACCAGAGGTGCTAGAGCCTGGAGCCTGAAACGTGATCGTCCGCTGTGTTGGGACAAAATTGTCGTGTGGGACTAGCAACATCTTCTCCAAGTGAAAGCGTGTTGACTCTAGCTGGAGTGTTAGGTAGAGAGAAATCTTACCACCTGCTTGATACATACTAAAAAACATGAAGGTAGCCATTATTATATGAACCCACAGTGTGCTAGTACTGGCTTGCTAGCTAAAGCAGCATGGCGAAACAATTAATCCTTTGTTTGGTGACAGGTGAGGACCTGCTAGTTGCCAAGTGGCTTGAGAGGATCTATCTATGCAATGGTGCGAGGGGATTTTTGTGGCCACCAAACGTAGTGGCGGGATGTTGGCCTCTCGGTGACTGTAACCAGAAAAAAAGGGGAAGGGAGTGACAGGTGAGGCCCTCTCTATATACCATGCGAGGCGGCTAGCTCACGAGTGGCCCGATGGGTGTTTGAGGCGGGGTGTTGGTCTCGCGGGACCACTATACGACAGGCGTAGATGCCAAGAAAGGAGAATACCTATTGGAAACCTATAGTCCCTAATTGCCAGTATGCTAAGGATATACCCAGGGTGAAACAGAAAATGTATGTATATACCACATGAGCAGGTGTATGTACCTGGTAGTATGATTAGATACCCTTATTGGTCGTAAGGGTTATTAATACCTGTATCCCGGACGGGTAAAACAATGTATGAAAACTGAATATTGACATTTAAAAGCGTATACCCATATGTGTGTTATGCAAGTTTAATAGAAAAAAGTGCTCCGTCCCAATGTTTATTGTATGCTTGTAATGACCCTGTTTGAAGGAAATTAACTTGTCAGGAGTGTTATATCATGTGTGATATTGAATACAACTGTACCCCGAAACATGAGTGTAATGAACCATGACTGGCAGCTGAATAACCTAATATGTGAAAATACATAATTGGAAGGACTTGTATTTTAAGCGTGCAAACATGCAAATATTCCGTATTAGACTCTGGAATCCTGCATAGTGCTTTAAATAGTATGTGCATTCTTGGGTAAATGTATGCGTATTGTCAGTAAATGTAACTAAATGCCTATGAAGGCAGGTATGCAGGAGTGATTATATCATAGCAAGCATGAGTTGTAAGGAAGTGTTATTGTGTAATTATAATTATAGTGGGAATGTTATGAGGGGAATAACCATATGTCTGAAAATCCTGTAGTATACCGTTTGACAGATATGAGTCAGTATAAAAGCGAAAATGCTGTAGTTAGTTTGCTTATGCTGTGGTTCGTTGGTTTGTACATGAAATGCAATAATGTCTGAGAACCCTGTAGTACACCAAATGACCGGTAGGGGTCAGTGTGTAGGCACAAATGCAGAGGTTCGTTGATTTGTAGATGAAATGCGATAATGTCTAAGAAGCCTGTAGTACACTGAATGACCGGTAGGGGTCAGTGTGTAGGTGAAAATGCAGTGGTTTATTTTTTGTACATGAAATGCAAAAACCTCTGAGAAGCCTGTAGTACACCGAATGGCCGATAGGGGTCAGTGTGTAGGTGAAAAATGCAGTGGTTCGTTGGTTTGTACATGAAATGCAATAATGTCTGAAAAGCCTGTAGTACACCGAATGACCAGTAGGGGTCAGTGTGTAGGCGCAAATGCAGTGGTTCGTTGGATTGTACATGAAATGCAATAATGTCTGAGATGCCTGTAGTACACCAAAAGACCGGTAGGGGTCAGTGTGTAGGCGAAAATTTTTATTTTGTTTGTAGTTTTAACCGAACAGATTTTAACCCAACAGATTTTAACTAAAACAGATTTTAAACAACAGATTTTACATGAACAGCTAGGTGAGTATAAGGTAACGAAATAACTATGCAAAACAAAAGGAAACCGTAAAGTGAGGACCCGTGCTGTGCTGAAAGCCGTGGGAACTAATCCTGGCGTGACAGGTGGGTCAACTTACGGTTTGAGAGTCCCTGAGATACCAAATGCAATGTTGACTGGAGAGAAAGCCACTGGATTAATGGAAAGCCATGCTGCAGGATTCCTGGACACAGCTTGGAGTAGGAGACCTCATGGAGCAAAGGTGAAACCAAAATGGCGTCTTGTATGACCTGGAAGTGGATCTCATGCAAATGCTAACCTCAAACAGTCTATTTGTCTGACCAACAAAGGTAAGTAGGGAAAGGAGGGAGTCCCATTTTTATAGGTCTATAGCCCATCCCACAACTTCAGGCCATGCCTTCCAATATGTGTAGCAGCATATGTAATTGAATGAAGTATTGCAGGATGAAATATTTATTTTGTTTTCAAAAGGAGTAGATCAGATCCCATGAACCCATCATTAAGCAGAGATCTTCGTAGGTTGACTGTAGTTTCATTCATCAGATATTATTCCCATCTTTGCTGATGTTTCTTTGTTCGTGGATTCTCTACTCATTGGGTGAAGTTTATCAAAGTGTTCTGTTCTGTAAAAGCATCACAATGCTGAATATGTGTGCTGATACGTGGTTTCTGTGGTGACCTTTTAGACTTTTAGTGCATTAGACCACTTTTTAGAACAGAGCATCATGATAAATTCCCCCATTGTCTCAACCTTTTGTGTTATGTTTTTATTTAATCTACCCTCTATTTTTATTCTAATTGATCTACTGATTATAAATTGAATTAAAGTGAGTGGTACATGACTTGCACAATGTATACTAAACTAGGCAACTTGGAAAACTTTTTCAACCTAAAATTAAGCAAATTCATAAACCAAAATAAAAAAAATAAAATAAATGGTTGTACCCGATAAGGCTTGTATTTGGTTTCTGACCTGAGATGGATTTTAATTTTCTTCTTTACATAGAACCAAATCATATTAAAAATTCACAAAATCTTTAAATATACATTTCTAAAGTAAATGTTAAATAAGCCTTTGGGTATTTACGTAATGAAATATGACTTAATTTTCAAGGCTTGAAAAGCGATACACTAATCACACTGTAGCACTGCAGCACTGTAGACATCCAGAATGGCCTCCAAGTCTCACAAACGCTATCATGTGGATGAATTTAATTCCAAAATGCATCTTGATGTTTATTTTTCACAAACTACTCATCAGGCAATGCAAGAAGTCGCAATAAGATATCCTATACTGCAGCTTTACAAGTCAGTGACCTCAGGTAAGTTGTGTTAATGCCAATTTCAATCATTTAAATGGCTAGTCCAAGCAACATGACCACATCAGTGATTTGTAGTGGCCATTGTGCTTGGAGTATGAAAGTGCAGTAAAACTCTTTACACCCTTGACCTTCATGGCACTGTCCTTTCATGGTTCTCACCCTACGTCTCCCAATTATTATTTAGTGTCTCCTCTGCTAACAGCTTAAGCCCTCTTACCATTTCAGCTGGAGTCCCTCAGATTTCTGTCCTTGGTTTCCTTCTGATATCGTGTCTCTCTTGGAAAACTTCCGCCTTAAAAGATCTTCCAATATGCTACTAAGCTTGTTAAAACTCTTCAAATTTCTCTTATTTACTATTGTAATTCTCTCCTATCGATCTCTACGGAAACCATACTGCCTCACTATTGTCCTGTCACTGTTTGCACCATGCCAAGCAGACTGTCAGGCATGGACATCTCTTCTCAGGGCCTGGCTGGAATTGCACCTGGGTCTTCTTCATCCCAGTCATTGATCTTTTTCTCATCGCCACTTCTCATGTTAATTCTTGTTCATTTCTGATGCTATGGTATCTGCATCACTATGCCTGAACTACTATTCACACCTGCATGTGGTTCCTGATTAAGTAGCTTATTAGCTACCTTTATAATCCTTGCCTTGCCACTTCCTCCTGGTCAGATCGTTTTGTTACCCGTCTTGGAAACAATTTAGTTCATTTGACTCCTGCTTTGACCTTCAGTACCGTTTACCGTATTTGCTGATTTCTGCCTCCCCCGACCATTGGTACTGTACCTGACTACTCTATTGGAATTTCCTTGTCTGTTTTGCATATCCAGGAGTACTTTTCCTGCAAAACCCCAGTGCATTGTTTCATAACTTTGGAGATATTTCCCTATTGTCTCCTCTGTTCATGTTAAACAGCAAGGGTGTGCATTAACTCACCACTTTGGACTCCCACCTCCAGGTAAGACCCTTACAAGTCCATAGTGAATCCTGCTGCCAGGCTGACTTATCTCTCCCATCACTTCTCTCATACAACACCACTCTGTCAATCCTCACATTGGCTTCTTGTGCCTTAAATGGGTCTGTAACTGAGCTCCCTGTACCCCTGGCTGGGTACCTCCGCAAAGGACCGCTTCCTAGCTGGAAACAGCACTTCTGCCCACAGTCACGGTGGCTTCACTGGGGCCCTGGAACCGCCCCACCTGGAGCCGAATAGGAATTAGCTCTAGACACCCCCAGGCACTGGACGACACTCAGTCCTGGGAGCTCTTGTCCTCACAAGGACTTTTACAGTTGAATACTCAACACTGGAACAGTAATTAAAGAGTAGCCATTTCCCCTCCCAGTAACCAGACGACAAATAGTTCTGGTAGTACAAGCTGGAATCTGGTGTACACACAGTGCAGGAGAATACAATAATAGTAAAAACCACCACTGGTGTATATGTGGAGTGCTTAAAAATATACAGGCTTACTCATGTGGGTTGGCATACATATGTATGGGAAACGTATCACAGTACAATGTATCTGAAACAGATATAAGTGCAAATAGTGCAAGTAACGTATGTGATAGACCCACTGCGTGAATAATCTATATAGTCTCACTCACATGTAACAGAGCCCTACAGGATAGGCTCAGATCTCAAAGACTTGCGTGTACTTATGGTGACACGGTAACCCGTCGATCCTTTTATCATTGGAAAATCCTTATACATACATAGGAGAAAAGGAAGGGAAACAGGGGAAGCAAGGTGCCACTAGTGTAATAAATTCCAGTACTCTGTTCATATAATGGAAGAAAAATTGTCTCTCACCTTTGCACATACACCCTCCTTTTTACCAAAGGAACATTTATTTCAACTAACTTATTCATATATTACATTTTTAATGTTTATTTACCTCCTTTTATTATTTATTAGAGTGCTGTCATTTTATTGTGTATGGTTTTTAATTTGTTCCGGTAGAAAGAACAGTTTGTGGTAGCAGCTTTTTATGTGAATTGCATTGCTGGTATTTGAATTGGATAGGACATTGTCCCCTAAATTGCGTTTTCTATATTTGCTAGTCCCTTTGACAACACAGGGGCCATAAGGCTTCCTTAAAATGACAGAACCAAAGTAAATTAACTGGCTCACTAAAATGTTTCTTTTGCAGGACGCATTAAAGGAGACACATTGATTGATGTCAGTATGGGACCCATGATGCACCTCCTGTGTACAGTCTCTGATGTTTTCAAAGAGATCACAATTTTAAAATTCAATGATGAATGTATCAAGGAAGTGAAGAAATGGCTAGACACACATTCAGAATGTTTTGACTGGTCTCATACATCAAAGTATATCATGGAGCTAAATGAAGGAGGGTAAACTATCATGAAGTAACTGAGGGAGATTTATCAAAGTTTTGCAGATTGTTTTGTGGCTTTTTTGGTATTTGTTTTTAGTTATTTATTCATTATTTTTTATTTTACTTCTTTTTTATTTTATAAAAACATATAAGACAAACAATATAACAAAGACATGACTAAAATGTGCCAAACTAACATAAAAAAGCCATTATGAATTATAAAGAGCCTTCTGACAATGAATATCTTAAATCTGATATATCAAATTAGTTATGCAGTAGAGACACAGGGATCATTTTCCACTTTTGTTTTTTGTCAGATCATCACTGGAAATCTACAACAGTTTTATTAATGTAACTAACATATTTTTCAGTTTTTTAGTTTAAATAATTGTTTTTTTAAATTGACAATAAAAAGGGAGATTAAGTTGTTTCTGACTAATAAAAGTTTTACTGTAGTTAAGCAATGTGTAAATAATGTGTTGTCTCTTTGTGTGCCAATCAAGGTGAAGCAGGGAGAACTCAGGTTTCTTCACTAAAGACAGATTGGTTATAATCTTAATCAGATCATAGACCTTTTCCCAAAAATACTTATCACAAGAACAACCAAATTGGTCTTTTCTAGCTTTTTTTTTTTTTTTTTTACTACTTTTGGCATTTGCCTTGTAAACCAATGTATCAGCTTTTAGAGCAGTAGAACTGTAGAAAATTCATAGGACTTGTTTTGCGATTGTTATCTCTTGACTTATTCACAGATGATTTGTTCCATGCAAAATGCACATTAGAAAATATGTGGGGCCGTGACAACCGTCATGTTTTTAAACCCCTGATGGCAGCCCTGATTTACTTAAACCTCCATACCTAAAGCTACACTGCAGAGCAATGAGGGAATCCCAGTGGTTCCCTTGCTGCTCACTATACTGTCTTCTGTCTACTGAATTAAAGGGAAACTATAGTGTCTGGAAAACAAACTTCTGTCAAGGCCCCCTCCTGTGGCGCTTTCCTGGGTCCAGCGCCGATGTCCCTCGGCACTGGCTCCATTCCGCCCACGCTCCTCCCCCTGCCGACAGCAGCGGGCGGCAATAGCCATGCTCTCATTAGGATCTCCCCATAGGAAAGCGCTATTCAATGCTTTCCTGTGGGGATTCCGGTGATTCCAGTGTCGTTTAGACATCCAAAAGTCGTCTAAGAACCTGGAAATCCATTTAGTGGCTGTCTGGTAGACAGCCACTAGAGGAGGAATTAACGCTGCAAGGTAATTATTGTAGTTTATATAAACAGCAATAATTACATGCTACAGGTTAAGGGTGATGGGAGTTGGCACCCAGACCACTTCAATGGGCTAAAGAGTGCCTACAGTGTCCCTTTAAATAAAATAATCCTGAATACCCCATGCCCCTATTACTAAAATAAATGTATGTTGGCTTTCCCCAACTGTATCTTTTTTGTGAGTCTAACTCTGTAATGCCCTAACATGCTTTTTTAGTGAATGACACAAACACACATTCTCTCCAGCCTTGCTCTAATGTATTAATGCCAGGGATGAGGTGATGTTAGTCTAATAATGGGATGAGGCGATGGTATGTTATGTTGGGAAATTGTGTAGTCAGAGAACAGACGAACCCCAGCAGCTCTCTTGCTCACTATACATAATTCTGTCTTATGAATTAAATAGACAGAGCAGACACTTGCCACTCACATCCCACATTTAGAATGTTACAGTCTCAAATCACTTTGTTGAATATCTTGCGTTGCATTTTTGTTGAGGTAATTAATAGCACAATGGAATAATAGCACAGAATGCTCAGTCGCACATTTCTCAGGGCACATTAAAGCTTTACTTTACTGCCTAAACTATAGGGAATGCGGGATAGCCAGGCCACACATTCCCTATCCTTAGAGCCCAGGACTGTGACAACCGTCATGGTTGTAACCCCCTGATGGTGGCCCTGATTCTAAATTGCTTTCCCTAGACCTAAATTTAATTCCTAAAATATTGCCTAAACTATAAAAGAACATTACAGATTAATGAGTTCAGGTTGAGTAGCTAATCCCCTTTAAGTGAAGTCAGACTGCAACTGAGTGAGATAAGCACCAGTTTGCTTCACTGTTCCTTGAACATACATATAACATGATTTCAGGCTTTTGGGGACAGAGTAAGATTGGTCAATCGGTTAGCACTGTTGCCAGACAGACAGAAATGTCCATGACTTCTCAGGGGAAGTATTGCCCTGATGCTCCATCCTTGGATCTGACACAGCTGATCTTAAAGACTCCATGGAGTGATTGAATCACTATTATAAATGGATTTGTTAATGTTTTTGTTTTTCAGCTCTCAAATTCAGGAAAGGGAAGAAGAGTTAAAGAGCAAAATTAAACACATTGTAAAATGTGACATTGAAAAAGAAAATATTACAGATCCTGTGATTCTGCCAAAATCGGACTGTCTGTTGAGTGTAACAGTATTGGAAGCGATTAGTGAAGACCACGAAGAGTTTCGCAAAAACTTAAAGAAAATCGTATCTTTGCTTAAACCTGGTGGACAGCTTTTGTTATTTACAGCATTAGATGCAACTTTCTACCGATTAGGAGAACATAAATTCAGATTATTAAAATGTGATGAGACATTTGTCAGAAGTGTTCTACATGAACAAGGTTTTGTTATTGAGTATATCGATTGGTTAAAAAAACCCTCTGAAACACATCTTACAGATTTTAATGATATCACTTTCGTCATAGCACGCAAACCCATGGAAGTATAATAAGATTATTATGCATCTGAAAAATTATGTGCTATGTGTTTTAATTGTCTAGATATACAATCTATAAGAGATTGTCAGGATCCTATCCTGACAACCAAGATATTGCTTTGTTTTATTGCTGCAATTCCTGTTTCTCGCCTCTAGTGGCCTCCCTAGCCACTAGTCAATCCTCAGTTGCTCTCACCCGCCTCATATGATCTTCCAAGTCTGCTATAAAAGGCCACATCCAACTCTTCTCATGATCTTTACATCGAAGTCAGTATTCTGACATTGAAGTCAGTGTTCTGACATAGAACATCTGATCCTGACTCCTGAAAACATCCTGTATCCTGGCTCCTGAAAACATCCTGTGTCCTGGCTCCTGAAAACATCCTGATCCTCTATGGAGACTCTATGTGTCCCGTCGCCGGAATCCTCCTGAAACTCTTATCTTCAACTACTGCAACTCTGCAAAATCCTGTAAGCAACCTGTACTACATTATACTGGAATCTACTTACCTGTCTCAACTACTGCAACTCTGCGTAATCCTGTAAGCAACCTGTACTATATTATACTGAAAGTACTTACCAGCTTTAACCCTTTCAACCCTGTATCATCTTGAACCTAGCTGCAGTGTGATATTCCACGGACTACTAATCTATTTGGGAATAACGTCAAACCTACTTGTATAAAAATATTTTATTCATTTACTCTCAAAGTATCCTGTTTGTGGCATATTGCCTTTATTCTGTTTTACCCTCAAAGTATCCTGTTTGTGGCATACTGCCTTAATTCTTACTTTCAAGTAAATTGTTATGTCAAAAAAGACAAATAAAGTTTCAACCAAGAACCCTGGCAATCGTCTCCTCACTGACCTGCTCAGGAACATGACAGAGATATTTTGCTAAGGACCCTCTAACGAGCTACCTGATGACCAAATTCCTGGTAAGGGTGATACTCCTTAGGCATTTTAAGACAAAATAGTAAAGAGAAAATATCTCTTCATGAATTGAAATTGAGATTTTTTTTTTCAAATTGAATATTTTGGCCTAACAGTTTAACAAATATCACCTTTTAAAAATAATACCTTCAAATTACAGAACTGTTTTTATTAAAATGAATGTGTGAACATTATACATTGTACATCTACATTCTATTTCCAGATAGCTTTAATTGGTGACTCTATACTAAAATACTAAAATCGACTTAAAAAAAAGTCAGTTCAAAAAGTTCTCAATATAGAGGGAACTCTGATCTGAATAAACATGTACATTGTAAGGGTATTCTAAGCATTGTAAATTATCTCTATTAATAAATCATTTTAGAAACCAATGCTGTAACCAGTGTTTTATCCTATCTCTAATTAGATAGAAATCAAATTAAAAGAATTGGTAAAATTGCCCCCTTTCAGTCCCTCCCACGCTCAGGCTTTTTGTTCCTTTTCTATCCCTATAGGACAGACGTGGTCATTTTCTGACTATTTACATTTTACTTTTTGGCTTACCTAAGGGTTGTTACTCTCTGCCCATGAGAGATCTAACATGGGAATTTTCAGTATAGAGCCCTGTGCAAAGGTGACCCCCTGAAAAATCCCCTTTAGTGATCAAGGGATAGCTTGCAGCGACCTTATAGGTAGCAAGCATTATATGTATTAATTTCTCCCTTTTGCAATGGGCGAAGGCGTAGCAGCTTCTGGCATTCCCATTCATCCCCCTCCTTTCCTGTACAGCATAATTTGTATAATTTTGCATTTTTTTGTTAATGTATTTTTCATCTTTTTACGTTTTACGCTACTTTGCTAGATTTTGTCTTTGCGGACATATCCTGCTGCTGGCAATTTCTTGCCATATTCTTTTGTATTTATTTGATTTTGTTTTACTCCGTTTTAGAAATATTAATATTTCCCTGGTGGTCCTGGGGTTTCTGAGGGGGGTTCATAGAATATCCGGAACATTTTTGAATTCCCCAGACTGTCCCTGGGCTTTAGGAGCTGCCATGTTGCTGTTGTCCATGCCGTGCAACTGTGTATGTGTGGTTTGGACGAGAGCATCAGGCACAGCTTCATTTTTCTTCTCTGAGAAGACTAGCAGGATTTTTAAGTAACAACATTTCATTTCATCACTATAGATGTTATTTGAAGCTTTTTTTTGAAACATTTTGTTAAAGTTTTTGTTCAATTTTATAAGCAGATTTTGGATTTTTTCTTTGTCTGTTTTAAAGGCGTAGTGCACATAAAGGAATATTCCCATTTTTATTTTTTTTATTTTTGACCAATTTCAGGTAGTTTTAAATACTTAAAATTTTTATTATCAGAAGTTCAGATATGTATTAGATTAATCTGTTTAAAACAAATAGTTACACTATAAAAGCCATAGGTAAGCCGCATTACTTTTTTTTATTGACCTAATTTAAACAAAAGATAGCTTGGACCATATTTTCCCTGTTAAGACAGCTCTATGGGAGACAATCAACCGCTTCATCTAAAGGGAATCCTCCAAAGACATAATAGGGGAATGTCACATATTCATCCGCTTATAAAAATGTGATTAATGGAATTTACTGTTCAGACAGGAAAAGTTGTGCTGAACTACATTACTGTCCTGACAGGAAAAGTTGTGCCGAGCAGTAATCAAATCCACAGCAGGGTTTTTGCTGAGCAGCAATTATGCAAATGGAAACCTGGTAACTGCCTTTAAGGTCAAAGGCCGATTACACCCTATCAGATTCAGAGGAGGGGTATTTAGGCCCAGTTCTCATCCTGCTCAGTGCCCTGTCGTGGTTTCCCTTGTGGTTGTCCGCGAGCGCGTTATTGATTCTGGTAATTCTGGTTATTTGACTTTGGCATTGTTTTTGACTTCCCTGTTTTCTGGCATCCCTGGCTCCTGGCTTTTCCTTATCGTTGTGTCTCTTTCTGTTTCCCTTGACCTCGGCTATTCCTGACTATTCTTTGGTATGTTAGTCCGGACATTCTAAGGTCCGGTATACTTTACCTATCAGTCCTCTGTGTTACACAATTCTACGTGCTGGATCATACTGTAATCCTGACATTGAAGGATCTAATGGCTCTTGTGATAAGAGAGCCTTGGAGGGAGAGTGTCTCTCCACAGTCTGTTTGAGAGCAGCATCAGGCCCCTCTACCTCTTCTCCATGATGTATTATTTTTAGCAGATGGTTTTTCAGTGCATTGAGGAGGTTGGCAAGTTTGCAGAGGACAAATATATCCTGTTCCAACTTGTATGTCTTCAAGATGAATCATCATACAGATCTATGGGGAGCTGCTGTCAGGGAACTGGTTTGTTCTTCGGAAGTGAACGTGTAGTCTATTGCTGGTTCTCTGGGTCCTGTTTGTGTGGATCATTTTATCTCTGCTTCAGATCAGCGTTGTAGATTTTATAGGGGAATCTTCTGAAAAGGATCTTTCAATTTCAAGCTGCTGCTTTTCTGATCTTCCTTTTGGGAAATCACAAAGCAGAAAAGTAGTCTCCCTGTTCGTAACACTATTGAAGACCTTATTCCAGATGGATGGTCTAAGACTGAGAAAGCTCTCACAGTACAAGGGAGAATTGCAAGTTTTTATCATTTAAGACTTTTGATGTTTCTTGATGGATTCTGTCTCTAATTGCGCATTGCAGTGGTGAGGTTACCCAACATATAACTTTTCTTGTGGAGTTTGCAAGTTATCTGTGAGACTCTATGGTGCAGAGTGTGGACTTTTGTTAAAGCTGATATGACAGCTGGTGCAGACTTTCATCTTGCAGTGGGAACAACATTTGTTTTTTGAGATATCATCATTGATAAAGTTGAAGCAAGATACCAGAAATAACAGAAGCAGATCCTCTATCATAAAAGTACGCAGGGTTGAGCTTGCAGTGGTCTCATGGATGTATGCATCACCAGTGTATTTATGCTCATTACTTGACCCTTTCTGTCTCTACTTAAAGGTTTCTTTGGCTTAGATCTTGGTCGACAGATATCTCTTCAAAGAGCACTCTCTGTCCTCTTCCCTTCCAAGTGATATGTGTTTTGCAAACATGGTTCTATGCAATAAAGTGCAGCAGAAGGGAATACAGCTCTTTCAGAAGAGTGTTTAAAACTAAAGATCTTCCAACCACACCTTTTGGGACAATAAATATTATAATCATATTAGAGAATTGGAAGATCTCAAGTATCTCAAGTAATTGGAAGATCGCAAGTATCGTTTGAATTTATTCCCATTTGGTTTTTTTTTATTAAGAAAGCTTCAGGAGGCAAAAAAGGATGTAGGGTTTACTTATTTGAGTTTTACAATACCTTACAGATATTAGGGTGTACACAATTTCTAGATGGGATTTTTACGGTCCAATTTCAAGTGGCCTTTCCAGGTCAATAGAGGATGTTAATAAAAAAAAGGGGGGAATTAGGGCACACCCAGAACATTTCTAAGCCACCAAGCATTTTAAGTAGTGGTTCTACCACAGAGACCAACATTTATACAAAATACAGATTAAGAAATAGAGCACACAACAAAATGACAATTTTAAAAGGTTACTTAAAATAACCTCTCTTAACAAACAAATATAGGGATTCATCCATATGGCATTAAGCCAACCACTATGTCTCAGTACCCCAATATCAGTGGGACCTACACTAATTTTAATATGGGAGATAACCATGTTATCTGAAATACTTACAGCTTAAACTGCTTTCAGAGTTTCTTCTCAATTTATGATTTCTTGTGGTCAGCACCAATATTGGGTTACTGTGAAGTAGTGGTGGGTCTAACACAATAAGGCTATATATGGTGTAGCTGAATCCCCATATTTGTTTGCTAAGATAGGTGATTTTAAGAAGCTTGAACTGTATTATTGGGTTGGGGAGACTGCTTTACAACACAGTCCGAAGTATCTATTTTTTCTGGGCCGTTGTAAATACTTGTATGAGAAGGAAGGAGTAGTGCCTCACAATATTTTCCAGTCATACACGTAAAAAAGAAGTGAAAAAATGAAAAAGATAAGGTGCAGTATTTTTCACACAGTTGGAG